CTCTCTCTCTCTCTCTCTCTCTCTTAAACTCACGCAAATTTAAACACACGCAGACAAATCATCTGCATACACGCAACATTGCACATAAACAAACAAACACACACACACACACACACACACACACACACACATCTACGTATGTATACACCTCCCATAAATGCTATGAAATACAAACCTTCCAATACGGACCTTTTCTCCCAAAGCCACACACAAAAAAGTAGTCAGATATAGCTGAGCTTACCTTTAAAAACACATATTATTCAATAATGCATATACAATGTACTCACAATCTTAACTAAACAAGTAAATACGTTTCTATTGAATGTGTCTTCACGTATGGGACACATTATACCTCTATTTGTTTTCTTTCTTATTTAATGACTTATTTACCCATTCCATTTAGCTATTTATTTACTCTTTATTAAGGCAATCTACTTAGCTGCGTTGCATGTTGTATTGGATCATATTACATTTGGTTAATTAATTGTATGATATAATATATGCACGTGTTATTAAATGAAGTAGAACATATTATGATCAGTTCAAGAAACCATAACAACTCAGGGGCTTTTTTTTTCTCTGTTTCTAATCAAAATAGCAACAACTATTTCTATTGTCCGCACTTTAAAAAACGTGCTTTGTTTTGATTCTCTATGTAAAGATAACGGTGTGTGTAAAGTGGGAAAAAAGGGGAGGGGTGCTTTATCAAAATTCTAAATTCTTCTGCAAAGGACTTACTATGGTATTATTTCTTATGAAGGTAATTCGACCCCCCCCCCTCCAAACCCTTTCTTCCTCCGGTGGTGGGCCATATGAAATAGAAAACAATTAAGAGTCTTTAAATTAAATAATGTTATGACTCTCAATTTTCCCCATGCAAAGAAAAATCATTTGCGAGATTACACGCGTTATGTCTACAACACTATGAAAACGACAGTGACAAAGGCTTAAGGAAGTCATTGGACCGTACCGAAATATGATAAGTACATATTATGTGGTTGAATATTTCGGCACACCCAATGACCTAGTCTGGGGAGAATGGTGCCTGGCGTTTTCCGTCTGCCCTGATTGTCCAGGCATAACGTTGTAACTTGCACTGAGTCTGAGAGTGTTCATATTTGAATGTGCAGAGCCATAATATGTACTAGGCAAAATCATTTTTTAAGAAATGAATTGAGGAAGTCACCAGTAAGATTTAGATCAACAGTCTACGTTCTTCAATCCTTTCCTTCTTCGCCCCCCTTTTTCTCCTTTCCCTGGATAAATAACGGTTTTATAAAAACAAGAAACAGCTAAAAGAAAAAAACAAAACAAAAACAACAACAATAACAAAACCTTGCTTATTCGCGATTTGTCTGTCTGACAGACTTGAAAGGCATCTATCTATCTAACCAGAAGCAAGAAAATTAAAACAAAACACGCCCACAGCCTTCATTTTCAATTATGAATTTACAGGAATTCCGCCCAGACGCGGGGCTCTTTAGCTTCGACTGTTGTGACATATTCTTGTTTTTGTTTATGCACATTCGTTCTCGGGGCTTTACGTGAGTGCAATAATTCTCCTGGAGCTTACCAAGCTCCTGACGATCAAAACAAAGAAGACAGACTTGACATTCAAACAGTAGACAAGAACAATACGGTATCCTTTAAGCCGGATCAGTGGCGGAATCTCTCGGGGTTGATCCTCACAAAGATAGAGAGAATGCTCTGAATCTGACAGTTGTTTTTCTCCGGCCTGTTTTGCTCCTTCCTGTCGCTCGTGCGTTGACCGAGTGATTTCTGTCCGAAATTATATTATAATAATATCCTGTTTTCTTTCCATTTACGAATTATTTATTCCGCTGTGGCCGCTTCAGATCGCTTTGAAATGGTAGACAGGAGCAGCCCGTGGCTTTGTTCCCACTTCTAAAAAATCACTTTGTTGTCGTTGCTGTGTATCTTTTTTATTCCTAGTTTTTTGGGGGTTATTTTTTGCTTTTCTCCATTTTCCCTTTTCTTTTTCACTTTTATTATATTATTATTATTATTATTA